GAATTTCATTGCACGAAAGTACACACACAGATATATATACACATATATAGTGTATTCGTCAAATAGGTCGATGCTTGGTCGATACTTGTTTCAATTTCTGCGAGATTCGTGGTAATATTACATACATTGGAAGCTTTTAAATATGTATGCGTACTTGTCTGTTCCTGGGATCCAGAATTATATAAAGATGAAGATATAATTTATGTCACCGGATTGAAACTAAGGTATTAGATATAATTAAAGCGAAATAAAAAGATGCATATATATATCAATCTTCTGCATTTTGAAAAAAAAAAGAGAATATATATACTCGGTATTTTATTTTATTTTTGTAAAAAAAACTGTAGAATAATTTATTCTTAATTTAAATATAATATTCGAGTTTTATAGTAAATATTCTCTAATACATAAATAAAATAACTATAAAAGTCTTTTTTAATATTACATTGCTATTCTTGAAAATAACATTTTGAAGTCAATTATACTGAAATCAATTTTTAAAACATAGTATGTATTTGGTTTTATAATATTGTTTATTCAAGTGCTATTAAATCTAGTTAAATTTTGATCGATTGCTTAGCTTCAACATCAGAAGTGCGCATGCTTTATTAATCTGCAAAATTATCCTTCCATAAAAGTTAACGAAAATTCTTCGATTCAAAGTAAAAATACTATCTAAATAAATTCTAATATTATTCATCGTACCGCTTATCAGAAGATTCTAAAATAAGTTTTAATATTGCTATTTGACTTACAGTTTCTCATTATTTTCCAGATCGTGACTTCTTTCCCGTAATTTTATTTCTTCAGCCATGTTATATCGTGATTCAGCCTCTTTGTTTATTTACTAAATTGTCTTCCCTCACGTCGAATAAATCTTTCTCTGCCAATCGTATTTCTTCTTTCCCTTTACCTTGTTTTACCGGTTCTAAATTTACAGACAGGCGGGATTTCGATACGTATTTGGCAACCAAACCTGCCCCGTTCAGCGCCATCTCGCTACCCTTGCCACGAAGCAACCCCCATCGATTTTCCGCGCCGCCGCCGCCGCCGCTTTACCAAATAAGGGAAGGATTCGAACCAACCCCCCTCTCGAAACTTACAACATGGCCGGCCGCCGGATGACAGTTGTTGCACTCGCCTCGCCTGCCCGTTGACCCCGTGACGCATTCCAGCATCCCGTACGGCGTGCACCTGTCGGCGTCATGTGTTCGCGCCGTCGGCGCCGATTACGCCGCGATTCCGCGACGGTGAGCGCGTCGAACGTCACGCAACTAATCGCGCCGCATAAAATCCCTGGCGAGTTCTCGTAAAATCCTGCCAGGACTCCTAGGCTCGAGTTCCTCCACGAACGAGCCTGCTGTTCCGTTCCGTTACTTGTGAGAGAGTAGGTGACAAATATCACCATTTCTAATTGTAATATTTAAAATATTGCTCGATCCAGCGATACATTTTAGTACCATTGGTTTTGTTTACATTGATCAATTTTAAACGCAGTTTGATTAAGTCTTCGTCTTTATATAATTCTGGGTTTTAGAAATAAAAAAAAAAGTTAAATTAAAAACTAGAATGTTGATGAAATTAAACGTTAAAAAGCCTGATTAAAAGTACTTGACAGTTTGCCTTTGGAAAATTTATTTGTCAATATGATCAACCATAATTGTCGATAAAAATTAAAACTCATTCATAAAAACTAGTAATTGAAGTTTCCATAATATTGAAATGATATTCCAAAACTGTGATAATTTTGTCCATTGTGTTTCGTCGGTCATCAGTCAATCAGCGAGGCGTTTGAAATCCCCAGTATAAGTTCTTTGAACTCTGTTTCTCATTCGCGAATGTGTGGGAGTTTTGGCATCGAATGCTGGGAGACCGTTTTGGATAGGTCGCGGTTGTTGTTGTAGTGAAATAGTCGAAGATCCGTTCGCATTGGATTGTTCGCAAATATACACATATATACATAGTACTTTTATTGTGGATATTGACGTAGATAGGTGAGATGAGGTAATATTGTGGAGCTTGTTCATTGACAAGTCAATGCAGCAAGTGCATTATAGTTTTTAATTGAAATGCACTGAAGACTTTGGAATTGTTTACAACAATATAGTCAGCTGTATGACTTCTAATTATTCTTTTCTCTGTGGTTTTTTTGTCTTAAATTAAATCACTTTTGTATCTATTGTGCTAATAAGAAATACAAGCAGTTTTAAAGAAATAATATGTTAAATCACGTAAGTTGATATTTTAAAAGAATAAAAAAGCGAAAAATATTAATGAAATCATATCTGCGCTGTAAAACTAATTTTCTGCAATTCTGAATCAATCTGTTCAAGTTATTTTTATTATAAACAATATTCTGGATATCAAGATTATAATTTTTCTTAATCAAGGAAAAAATATACTACAGATAAACTGGAAAAATGTAATTATGTCATTGAGATGATAATTAAACATGAGACTTAAGAAAGTTCGAAGTTAAAAATATCACGTAGGTTTGTGGTGCGCACGAGTTTGTAACTTTTATATAACCGATATTCTAATGAATTTTAATTATTTCTTTTTTCATAAATTTGGAGCATAATAAAATATATCCTGTTTTTTTGATCAATTTATTTTGCAATAATAAATAATCATTACTTATATATTAAATATGTACATATTTAAAGTTTCTAAAAGATTTATAGAAATTTATTTCCGTTATTAAATTGTATTTAATAATTATTATTAAATTAACAAAAAAATTGATGTTTATCATGCTGATTTCTAATCTCTAAAATATTTTAGATTTAAAAATTTAGAGCGTGTACATTTTTATTATATTTATTAAAATACTAAATTGTAAAAAGAAACATAGAGATAAAATAGAACACAATAATTGCGCACAGGAGAATATTGCGACAGACACTATGTTACTTGTTTCAAACGTTCCACACTGGAGAATGCCGGAGGAATGTCAAATGCAAACATTTATTTCACATGGCAGTTCACTGCAATACTGTGTACGTTATACATTGATATCACCCGTAGGCCATTGATAAAATATGCTATTAATTGATATTATTAACGACATAGCAAGGATCGATTGAATAGCAATGAATGCCATATTTTTTAATATGTATGTTTATATATATACATATATATAATAGATTTTATCGATAAAACACTTATTTAATTTCTTTTATTAAATTTAAATTTAAATTTTCGTATATTTTTCAATACTGATACAATACATCAATTATGTTGTAATTGCCGATTCTTTTTAAAGACATATATTTCAGAGATTTATTCATGCATAAAACCAGCTTGTAAATAATTAATATTTTAATGAAGATTTTTTATCAATCATAAAACCTACTAATATTTTTTAAATATTTAATCATTTTTTTAATATTTAATATTTAGATAAAATAATATTAAATTCATAAGTGATGAAAAAATTATCGACAATTTCGACTACACAAAAAGAAAAGCCCGTTAAAAGCCTAAAAAGCCTATTAATATTTCTTAACATTTAATTAACATCTAAATGAAATGAAATAACATCAAGTCCATAATTAACGTTTATTAAAGACCATTATTAAATGAAAATTAACGTTTCCTATTTCATATAATCAGATACTTCATAATAAATTTTGCTTTCTCATAATTATTCGTAAACAGCCTCGGCTGTTAAAATCAATATCGAATTGCTGATTTATTTCGAATGGCGAATTTATATATCCTAAAATACATATATATTTATGTAAATAAAAAAATCAGATTTCTCAAGAAATCCTCAAGAGGTGCGCAATATGCGATCATGTTTATGTGACGAGAAGAGAAATTTGCGAGAAGCTTGTGGCGGCCGTAGAGATGACGAGCGCGAAATATGCTTTCGGTCCGAAAATAACGTGGCCGTTCGTTGGTACGGCGGAATCTCGTCGTTCGCAATTTTAGAAACCGTAAAGCCGATCATTCTCTCGCGAGCAAGTGACAAGTACAACAGGCTTAGTCCTCTCGAACGTGCCACTCTCGAAAGTGCGTCTCTCGTCCTGACGACGTGATAAAACTCGATCGCGACGTTCCCACGTGAGTCATCATTGGTCCTCGTCGACGGCCGAATGGAGCCTCTTCGCGAACGTTTCAGGTGAGGTGAGGTCGGCGGGGGACATCTCGTTCGCGGAAATTGATTAACGGGATTCATCCCCCGCTGACGAGTTCGCAGAATTCATTTGTCCTGCGATATATCGGTACGGATAAACGTTAATCCGAGCCGTCCAGGCGTGCGCATGTATGCCACCCATATGGAATTAATGATTCCATGTAGTGCACGGTGCGAATATATAGGTTCGGGCTCTCCGGCCAGAAATTTCAATTTCATTGTAGTCTCGGACTGGTGACAAGTTACCGCTCGTCAATCTGCGCTTCAATAGGAACCCGATTGTGTAAACGTATCTTTTAGTTCGCCGGATTAAATTAATTCCGAATAAATTTTTGAATATTTCCTGTAATTACCTAAAAAATGTAATCCTTGTGAGCTTCCTTTAATGTGTTTTCAGTTTTAAATCTGTGTAAGAAGTGTGTTGCAACTATTGTATATGTATGACATTTCAAAATTTCAAAATTCATTCCAGTTTTTCTAGCAAATTTAAAATGGATTCTTTCGGATAAAAAAATTCTCGAATAGAAGTTATTTATATTATTTTTAATGATTAATAATCTCTTGGTATAATTTTGATTAATTTTTTAAAATAATATATTCGAAGTTATAATATCTAAAAGAATAACTGTGGGAAGATTTATTATGTGATTATATCCTAGAAATTATCTTATTATGTCACGTTTATTTTTACTCACATATATTATTTTAATCACAAAATATTTTCAAATTGATCAAAACAATTGTAATTAAAAAAAAGACTGTTTTGAACGCTGCAATTATTATTATTACTAGATTTGAAAGATTAAATATCATTCAGACATAAAAACTCGCATGTAAAGTACGTTGCTTTGTCTTACAGATGCTTTTCACGTTGTAAAGTGACCCTCGTCGAGAGAAGTTGTACACTTACGATGGGCAAGCTTTTGAGTCTTTTGGCTCGAGACGAGTCTACCTGTTGCACGCCTCAAAAGTACGATGTCTTCTTAGATTTCGAAAGTAAGTCGTACTTATTTTTCTCACGGAGAGTTTTAATATTAACTTTTAATATTGTATTTTACATGATCTGTTACGTATTAATCTTCTTTTCCAAAAGAAAAAAAAAGAAAAAGAGAAATTTAATCTTTCGGATAAAAAAAATTATCGAATAGAAATTATTTATATTATTTTTAATGAAGAAATATTTAAAATTTAAATTTCCATAAAATAATATATATTTTATATATGATAAAAAATAGAGAATTTATGAAGCATAATAAATTGTACATAGCAAAAATATGTAAAATATATTGAGTTTGAAAAATATGTAAAATATATTAAATTTAATTTGTTCTACTTGTTTGTTCTCAGATGCGCAGCCATCGGATATCGAACGCGAGACGTTTGAGGCAGTGCAAAGGGTGCTGAAAAATTCAGAATCTATTTTGGAAGAAATACAATGCTACAAAGGAGCCGGAAAAGAAATCAGAGAAGCGATTTCGGCGCCCACAGAGGAATGTCAAAGAAAAGCTTATCTAACCGTAGCACCCCTCGTCGCAAAACTCAAACGATTTTATGAGTTTTCCTTGGAACTCGGTACGCATCATTAATTACATTAACGATAATAGTTTTCTATAAATAGGGATGTTGAGCTTCGCGAAGACTCGATATCGACGTGAATATTAGGATATGCTTCAATATGCGCTTGCTTTCACATTTATGGCATGCTTTTAATTAGTTAAGTGTTAATAATTAGAAAGGGAATATCCATGAAAAATATTTTGGAAAATACCGGTCTCCTTATATTTGATTTATTTTTTTGTATCGAATATACTTCTGGGCAAAAATATTATTAAATAATATCGATGATAAAATATCAAAATATTGAGTATATAATATTTAATCTTCTGTATTTTTGCAATTTATCTCATTAATTATTCTTTATAAAATAAAAAAGAAATTATCGCCAATAATTTTATTGTTAGATTCAATCAATTACTAATTGGTTATTAATTTTTGGTTATATTATTGGTTATTAATTTATTTTATTATTGTAACTAATATTAATTTTCAATTATTAATATCGCATTACATGTTGCTTATTTTTGTATATTGGCTATATAATCTTCTAACAAAATCAATACTAACTATTTAATATTGATTAATTTTCGTACACTGAGAAAAAAAACCGGTGAAAAGGTAACGAACGGATATTATACCGATCACTTTAATCGGATAAAAAAGAAACCGATCAGATATCCAATCAGAAAATATTGATTGATCAAATATCTGATCAGAAAATTCAAAATTCGGAACTTTCCGATCAGATATCCGATTAAAGTGATCGGTACAATACCCGTTCATTACCTTTTCATCGGACATTTCTCTCATTTTTCTCAGTGTACGTATTTTGTGGATATTTATTTTATAAGTAAAATACAGTGATCAAGGCTCTAATATTATATATTTTATAAGTATTATAAACAATAACTGTCTCCGATATTTCGTATAAATTAATTCATTTATTTACAGAAAGGGTTGTACCGAAAATTTTGGGGCAATTGTGCTCGGGAAATCTCTCACCGACGCAACATCTGGAAACGCAGCAGGCCCTAGTCAAGCAATTGGCAGAGATATTGGAATTCGTATTGAAATTCGACGAGCATAAAATGAAAACGCCGGCGATCCAGAATGACTTCAGTTACTATCGGAGAACGTTGACGAGAGCATCGTTGGCGCGACAGGACAACACCGAGAAGGATCTAGTTGTCGGCAACGAGCTCGCCAACCGAATGTCCTTGTTCTACGCCCACGCGACACCCATGCTTCGTGTTCTGAGTCACGCGACCATTACTTTCTTGATGGACGTAAGTGGTATCGCTTCTCTACATTATTCTCGTCTGCGCGGCCTCCCATTGTTGCCTGGACAATTATTGATCCGGCCAGATGCTAACTGATGGCAATTAGCTGAAATTCTGCGGTTATCCAGGCGGTTTCTCCACGCGTCCCTTAATTATTCCTTGATTGAGAAATAATTCTCTATTCCTTTCGAAATTATGCGAAACATATATAAAATTCTTTACGTTGTTAATGTTGAATATAATATATTTCGATACGCGATAATGTATCTTCTTAAAAAAGATCACAAATTTAAAATTGTCTTATTAACAATTTTTTTAAACAATTAATGTTAATAATTTTATTATAATAATTATTAATATTAATTATTATAAATGTTAATATTATTAATAAATGTTAATATTAATAATTATTAATATTAATTATTATAAATGTTAATATTAATAATTATTATATATATATTAATAATAAATTTTTTAAATTATATAGAGAAAAAAAATTGTGATAAAACAATATGATTTTATCTTTAATAATATAAAAATTAAAATATATAATTACAGTAAAAACATTTCGTCTACTTCATTCATTTAACAAAATTATTTTATAAATTTTGATCACGTATAAAAATATTTTTTAACGATAATAAATCATCAGCCGTTCGTATTGATTGCGATGACAAATATCCGCGTTACGTGATTGACATGAAGTATAATGGCAAAGCAGAAAAAAAATTTGTCCATGAAAATAATGGCTCTACTGAAGCAAGAAATTGACAGGTATTCTGGTCTGTGATTTAAATTATCCGAGGTCTACAAACTACATCGATCAGACAAATAAATGTGATATGATGAACAAAGGTTCAATGTTATATACAAGCTTTTAATTAAAATCGATAATGAAATAATAACATACCATTGGAAGTATTTTCAAACACATACACAATTTAATACATGTACAATAAAAATATGTATTTTATAATAGAGAACGAGATGTTTTTCAATTATAAGCTCAGTAAAAATGCTGTGGAAAAAATGTGGATATTTATACAAAAAATATTCATAAATTTTTGAGATAGAAAAATTATCCGCCATTTTCAATAATATATTTAATATGTTCAATATGTTTAACCTCCATAAAATTCTTCTTTTGTTTTTAGAACGAAGATATAGCAAGAGAAAATATAACAGAAACGCTTGGTACAATGGCAAAAGTGTGTCTTCGAATGTTGGAAAATCCGTAAGTAAAATCCGTTTCTATCAAAATGCAAAGATAGCTTTACCAAGGAATTTCTTCGAAGCTAATTTGAGAAATATTTTCTCCCAGGAATCTGTTGGCGCAATTCCAACGAGAGGAGACTCAGCTCTTCGTTTTAAGGGTCATGGTGGGTTTGGTGATCCTCTACGATCATGTACATCCCCAAGGTGCCTTTGTAAAGGGTTCGAATGTGGATGTGAGTATCAAAAAATTAAAATGAATTTTTTACACAACATTTTAATAAAAAAGTTTCTTAAAGAATGTTGCTTTAATTGACTATGTTACAATTTTAATTTCATATCTATATTTATTGAAATACTTTAGAGAAATTAAAAATATCACATAAGAAAAATATTTTAAAAATTTGCATATAGAATCTTGTTTCGCATATATTTTTTCAAAAATATACAATAATAATATGTGTTATAATCTAACAGGTCAAAGGCTGTGTGAAACTATTAAAGGATCAGCCACCTTGTAAGAGCGAAGGTCTGCTGAACGCCCTCCGTTATACTACGAAGCACTTGAACGAGGAAAACACGCCGAAAAATATAAAGAACCTGCTGGCCGCATGATTACCGAAGCAACGCGGCTGCTGCATCAGAAGTTGAAGCTTGCCGAAGCCGCGCTTCTTCGCAAACATTTTTCGAGCGGTATCGTTTTGAACGACCGTCTCTAGTAGTTCCGAAGATCCAAGAGTCTCTCATTAGCGCGTAAAGCGGTCTTCTTTTCCACGCGCATCCGGTTTGGCGGACCACACGTATATTCTCGGAACTACGTCGAAAGCTGCCCTTAAACTGCCGAGAATATTTGAAGTCTTCGAATGAAAAATAATTCATTGACACGTTGACGTAACGATTGATCGCCACGTGCTTCTTTTATTTTCCTATGATCGTCCGAGAGAGTTCACGTGTATGATTACTTATTATTTTTGCTGATATTATATGTTACGCGCGAAACAAACATTGTTGTGTGTCGCGGTGATCTTCCAAACTTTCAAATATTCCCTCTTTCATTTAAAGCACTTAAAGTTTTCATTAAGCATTGATGTTTCTGTTAGTGAGTTTTCAATTTACGAAATCTTTTCATCGATAGGAAAAGTTGAGTAAAATAGACTTTGACGATTAAATTTTTGCGCACAGTGATTTTTTTGCAGCGTTTCAACCAAAGTTGTTTATTAACATAATTTCCGCCCGGACAGGACGGGAAGTTAATTAGAGCATATCATAGTGTATTTAGGATAACATAGATTGTGAACTTTTGGGGGTGTGTTACGAAGAGAGCTTTAATCACGTTATGGATATTATGGAGATTTTTAGCTCTTGTTTTCTTTGTTGAATGGCGGGCGAGAGGGTGGATTGTGAGACTGTGAGGTATTGTAAGTCGAAAAGTCGAATATTGCCGGAACAAATCTCATTTTATCGATATAACCGCGTATTTGGAAAGTATTTGGAATCTATATTTGAAATGTATCTCAAATATTATTGTGTGATTTAAAATCATATTTTGTAATCTTTGATTGAGAAGTAGAAGAACACCAAAGATGCTTTTAGGATAGCAAAGTTGCGAGAATGACAGATGTGATTTGTTATTATTAATATTATTATCATTATTATACTATATTATTTTTTATTATTATTATTAGAAATGATCTTATGTGAAAGTATTTAATAATCAACGAACGCATGTTCTGCGATATAGGTCAATGATCATTATCTACATATAAATACGGATGTACAAATGTAATTGTACACGATAATTTGCTGTATTTTCTTCTAACACACGCAATCATACATCTTAAACAAAAGTGATTTAAATTCCGGATTTTTTGCATCAAGAAATTTATTACAGATTTAGCACGGATTATTTTGAGTCTATCAAAAGATATTTATTATATAGTTTTGGAATATTACTATTAGATTATCAGTTTTCAAACAGTTATATATGACTATGCTTTTGTTTTTTCTTTTTATATTTTCACAGACTAAAAGATTATTCTATGTTCCAATTTCCAATGCTAATTTTTGATCTACCATATTTTTTTATTTTTGAATATTCTTCAGAAACAAATATCAGAATTTAAAACAGTTCTCTCTACATATTGCAATTTTTTACTATCATACTGAGGAAAAATTTGCGACGAACATTTAATATTAATTTTTTTTATACATACAGGTGACGCGTAAATATGAGAAAAAAATTTACAGGAATTTTCGAACTGACTTTAACACAAAACATCTTCTTGCACGTTTTAGAGATTAATACTTTGAAGACTGCTTGCCGACCATAATGTGAAACCTTGTGTGTAAGTATTACGTGAAAAAAAATAAAAAATCACACATTTACATAAGAATTTACCATGAACGCTCATCAGTAGCGAACCTCAAACACTCACGTTGTATATATACAGATTGTTATGATATATTAACGATATTCACACAGATATTACTGTTACATTGGCACTCCATTGTAATAAGTGCCCTGAATTATTGCCTTGGTAATTTTTAAGGAAAAGATAATGAACACAGTATTTAATTAATTTTACATTCGTTATATGCTTTATTTTGTAACGTTATTCAATGTCAATTAACACGAGAAATATTATTGTCGCACATATTAGGATTGTACTTGAGTTAAATTAAAGTCCCCTGAAACGTATGAGGTTTATAATTATTTCAGTGGTTACTCTGATGAATCAGTTCCTTGCAATAAAACTGTACACGTTATGCATACGCGAAACAAACATCATATATATGATTATCTCTACCTAGAACCTTCCTTCCTGCAGGCATTACTATTAGAGAAGTCTATTAATAACCCGTTTAACAAACAGGATGTGGTTATATTGTTATATTGTTGATATTGCTAATTCCTTTTCATAAGGTTGTACATTCGCATGAATTGATGCATTATTTCAATATATATAATTAACTACATGATATAAAAATCGCATAATGTTTAATAAATTTTATATTATCCATATGTGATTATTATATTTTATATTTTAATGATATAATTGATATTGTAATATTTACAAAAAAGTACCGATTCAAATATCTTATTTTACATTCAAAATTTTAACTGCTTAAAATAATTATAGATAATTGGTTACAGATAATTAAAATTATAGTCTATTCTATTTATATCTTTTTAAAGTTTATATCTTAAAACTTAAATTGCCCAAATTTTTTATTTGAAATTAAAATTAAAAAGTACATTTAAAAATATATATTTTTTTCTTTCAATATATATATAAAATATATTTATATTTACTATAGTAGATTATATAGAACTGTTAGGAGAAGAAAAGTGGTGTTATATATTTTTAATAAAGGAAATAATCTTATCAATAATTGATATACACGGTATTATTAATGATCAATAATATCATAAACTGTTGTATTATCAGTCGATATTTCACGAAAGCAAAGTTTAGGTAAAAGAAGCATGACTTTTTCAAAAGATGGAACATTAGAGCTAAAAGCTACTCACGTGACGCCGCGACGGTGTTATTAAGGCGCAATTCTTTAAATATTGATTGAAAGTAGGTTGGGAGTCGATGGGTGGTGCTCGGTAGAGGGATGAAAATGGAAGGTAGAGGCTGGTCGAACTGGCGAGATGAGATGAGAAAGTTGACCAAGAAGGGAGAGCTATTTATTATATATGATAGGCGCGGTCTCTATAGATTTTTTTTCATTAGAAATGCAAGCCATAGAGGAGATATATTATTAATTATCGGCTTATAATAAAGTTTGATTAAAACAATTTTTATTCTTGCGAGCTACTAAAAACCTATATGAATTATATCTTTAAATTAATTATTTACCGGTGCTTTACAATTCATACTATTTAGGATTATATTTATTGAATAATAAAATACGTTATAACACGTTGAAACTGATCAGCACTTTCAAAATTTTCTTAATATACAGATTTATAAAACAAAGATACGTACAACTTAAACATAATCTTGTTTCGATATTAAATATATTTTTCTAAAACAAATTAAAATATTACAACAGTTTAAAAAAAGAAAATACGAATTATCGAAATAATTTGTGAAATTATCAATAATCAACTATTTTTTTATTGCCATAATTATAATATATACTGCATATATATCACATCTAATAATTTAAAATTTTCTACTATTGTTTTATAATCTAATGTTCATATATATCATAGGAAGGAATATTTGTTTTACTATAAACTGTACTTTCGTATCTGTATCAATAAATATAAATAAAATGCAAATAACTTGTTTGTAATTATAAAATTTTTGCTATTGAACACAATATATATTTGTGCAGAAATTAATAATCGCGGTTTCTCCCCGAGAGCGGCCATGTTTTCGAAGGCGTCCGAGAATGTCGCCCAGCTTTTGTTTTGCCTTTAGCACGACCGCCACCGCCATCAGCACCACCCTTGTAGATTTCCCCTCCGCTCATCCCTTGCCGTTACGCACAATCCAGCGACCCTCTTTTTTCGGGCTGGATGCTGCGGAGTAAGAGAGATGAACAGTGGGACCCCTATGGATTTTTTTTCCGTACCGCGAGAGCACCCGCTCTTCTCCGCACCCCTCCGCTCGCAATGTTTTAAGGGCTGCAACAACGCCTGGCGGTGGTCCTAAAAAAATTCAACCTCCAATTTGTAAGGTCGGCGGCCTGTTTAATTGCGATATCCAATTCCTCCTTGCAATCCATCTTTTTCCTCTTTCTTTTCCCGCTCAGTTTTTCTCTCTCTCTTTCTCTCCTCTCTTCTTTCATCCCTCTCGTTCGCGGTTTTCAAGGCGTCGAGATGGTTCATAAGGGCTGCTTGCTCGTTAATCTTCCGAGACGTTTTTTTTCCTCTTTTTTTTCACCATTTCGAGATACGACTCGGTTGGGAATAATAATGAGGCTAATCCGTATGACACACCTCGTACATTAATTCCTCGCACGGAGTTCTCTTTTCGAATCGGCCACTTGAAAACTCCGGCGATACGAATCATAGTTCTTTTTTTTAATAACGATAATTTGAAGGGAAAAAGACGACAGTTTCGAATAATGATTGTACAAAGAACACTGATTTCTGCAGATATGTTGAAAATTACATCTTTCTAGCATGAATACCTTTTGTTTTTCTATATACCTTTTGTTTTTCTATTAAAATTGCGATAATACGTAAATTTCTATGCATAATAAATACATAATTAAACTATTATCATTATATAAAATATCAGAGAAAGTAGATAAGTAAGCATTATTTTTAATATTCTTTACTGTAGTTATATGTATAACATTTGTGATATTAAAAAGATAATTGAGATCGTTGTAAAATATAATTTTTCCAAAATGACACATATTCTCTCTCATACGCATATATACAATAAATTATGAGTATAAAAATACTAAAATTTATTTGAAAAATACATACTTTTCGATATTCTATTGATATAAAATATCATATATTATTCATCTAATTATCATTAGAAAATTAAAAGCTTGACAATTATCTTGTTATAAAGAAATCATGGCATTATTCTATTTAAAAAGGCAAATATTAAAATTGAATTATCTTTGTTTACTTGCTATGATCAATTTGCGTTTATTACTTTTCGTAAGAAAGTAATAAACAAACGAAATACTCACACGTCTAAATATGTACGAACAAGATTTTCGTAACAAGACACAACTGCGTCGATTTGTGATTAACTGCAAAAAAAAAACTCAGCGGGCGAGTATAATGCCGGAGTTTACAGTTTCGGTGAGCACCCCTCGCGTGGTTAAATCGTGCCACCCCTTTCTGTCCGCTATGCGGGACATTACGCAGCCTACTCTGATGCGGCCGGTCTAATTGTGATATCGCTTTTTTTCTCGCTCGGCTTTTTTCTTATCTTTTTTTCAACTCATCGCGTCCCGCTCGCTCCTCCGGGCACGTAGTTTTTTTGTCCGTTATTTTCCCGCCACCCGGTAATTATGTGGGCGCGGCGGACCAAACAAGGGAAGAAGCCGACGCGGCAAGGAAAAAAAGTCGTTTTGCATATTTAAATCCCGCACGTAGGGTGAACGAAAAAAGATAGCGAGGAAGCGCGAAGAGCGAGTGAGACGGGATGATGAGGCGAAAAAGGGTGCGTTCCGAACCGAGTAACCCCTATGACGGCGAAGCGAGATAGAGAGCGGCGAGGGCGCGTGCGCCACGACAATGGGCCGTGTTTGCACACCCGAAAATTGGCCGACGCAGAAAAAGCGGCGACTGTCTCGGCATGAGACAAAAACTGTTTGAAAAGAAAAAAAACAGTCAAAGGGAAAACGATTAATCGGAGAACACACGCTAACTACCGCCAATATCGTCACGCTGGCGCTTATTCGAAAGGATAATTTGCTTTCGAATAAGAGAATTACGATATGATGCATCAGAGATATTAAGAAAAATGTCTTTCACTTAAAATTTTCAAAATGCCAAATTCTTGTTAATTTTTGTATCAAATTAGGTATTTTACATAATATTTCGAATATTTGTTTTAATTATGAATGCGGAAATGTCAAGGGCTTATAATAAATATATGTTTTGCCATTGAATTATAACAAATGTAAAATATATACATATTACTCCTGATTTTATTTAAAATATTATAAATTTAAATATAAATCTTAATTTATAATTTATAATTTATAATTTATAAATTTAAATTTATGATTTATAATTTATAAATTTAAATTTATGATTATAAATTAATTATTATATAATAATAGAATTTATTAAACTTTTAAAAAATATTTTTTATGACTACTTTTTATCTCAAAAATTTCATTAATCTTTAATAAATTAAATAATATTATTATATATTGCAGAATTAATTCCTAATTTTTCTTATTTTATAAAGTATATATTTGTCATCTTCACGCTTAATACTTTTCAATCAAGCCACAAATTGATTAGAAATATTTTTTCCAGAAGCTGTCGACCACAATGCATCGCGCACATCGACATGCTGTAAGATACGTGAACGTAGGGCAGCATCGATCGCGGGGATTAGTCGGATCCAATTTTCCGCGGACGATAAATTAGAATTTATGAAATGAGCGTGAAAGGCTGCGCGCGAGTTCTTCGAGGGTGAGTTCTCTCGTGAGGGAAGTCCAGTCTCTCCCAGCCATCTACGAGCACCTTCCTCACCCCCGCGAAACTCTCGCACTCTCCCTTCTCAACCGGAACTAATAGTTTTTCCTCTGTTTTTTTCACACGATGCCCCGCGGTGCCCGACAGAATTGCATCGTTCTGGTCGTCAGCAATTTTCGTGCTGACTCTCATAAAAGTCGTCATTATATTCGCTCTGGATGAAAGATAATTTTATTTTTATAATATAACTTGTATTTCTATGTAAAGAGACAAATTAAAGATATAAGTATTGTGTTAAAATCATCTTTTCTCTATTTACTGTATCTTAATGTATAATTATTCTTAACTAAAAATACCAAAAATCTGTATATTATTTCTTGTTTAATATCTGAATTGGATTTATTCCTTTGTATGTAGCGTATTTTATATTGTTTAATTATATAATGCATAATAATTTAACATACAAACGAAACTATCGCGACTAATATAATAAAAAGATTAATTACACGAGAAATTTTGCTAAAGATATATATATATATATATATATATATATATATATA